CTGATAGATATTCAATCGAGTCATTATTACAATCCCTAATATTTTTTTTTTTTAAATATTGGATTTTATTACTTTTTTATGAAGTTTTATATAAAAAAATTACAAATTATAGAAATAGATTTTAGTTGAGTTTTATTGGCAATTAATTATTTATTTTCCTTTTCTTTTGGTATCTACTCTCCACAATAAATTTAATGATTTCTTACACAAACTCAGTAAAAATGTCAGAAGTTGAGTCAAACTTAATCATTTAATCATTAAATATTTCATTTCTCTTTGATAATTCATTATAAACGATATAATTCTTTAAGTTTACCTAGTATTAACAATTGAATACAATTTGAAATTTCAACGACCTGCTTTATTTCTTTTCATAATTTTTAAGCTTGAATTAATCTAAGCTATTAATGTTTGAAAGATTGGAATTTGCTGCATCACCTTAATCATCGTCATTACATTATCCACTTAGTTTAAATCATTTTTCTACCTAATTCGCACCACACCCTAATTCGATGCATCAAATAGTACGAATTTTAAAGAATGGCTTGTTCACATATACAATAACAATTTCAAGAATTTTATGTAATTATTACTCTTCTTCATTCAAAATTCGATATTCCTCAATATAAATATTATATTTATTTACTATTGAAATATACTCTATATTATTAATCACATTAATAATAATCAATATTGCATGAATTTAAAAGGATTATTAAAGGTTAAAGATGTAGCTTTTCTAACTGGAGGTCAAGTGGTTTTTATTTAGTTGATGTTTCAATTAAGAGAAAAAAAGTAATTTAATCATCAAAATTTCAATTTAAAACTTAGAAAAATTTTCAAATGAAAAATATGTTCATTGAGGATATAAAGGAAAATGGAACTAAACCTTTAATTAATTTATAAACATTATCATGAATTTAAATATTTAATTGGATTTTTGAATGAAGAACAACAAATATAATATGAAGGATTTTAGAAATTAAAAGTCAATAAATAAAAATTAATAGAATGAGAGGAAGAATTATTAATATAGATTAATGAAGAACAATTATTGAATGTAAAATAATTAATGGAAGAACTAGATAAAAAAGGAAAGCTTCTCCATTTGCTCTGCTAATTTTACCATATTCATAGTGTAAGTGAATTTGAAGTGATATTATAGCACTAAATAAAAAATATATTTCATTAATCGTTTTGGCACTTAATTCAGATTCTTAATTTGTTTTTTTTTTCAAAAATCTAGATATATTTTTTTCTAAATTATCTTTTCTAAATATTAAATTTTTTGTTATTGTAGAGATGTAATTCCAAATTGGTACAATTATTAAATAATTGAAATTCTAAATTTGTTATATAAAATCATTTTGATAAATTGAATTAAAGTGTATTTCGCCATTTAAAATCACTTAAAATTTATCTCCTGCAGTTTATAAATCATCTTATTCACTAATTAAATTGAGTTATTTACTTATATAATTAACTTAATCAGGATTTTAATTATTGAATGGTGTTGTTAAATTATTTGAGAGAAAAATTATAGGCTTAGCCTTTAGTGATTGACTTAATTTTCAAATAAATTGCCCTTAATAGTGAGGAATGTGCCTAAAAATTAGTTAATCTTCATTATCAAATTTTACAGAGAGAGGAAGGATGTTTGATTTCATGGAAAATATTTTGAAAGATTAATTTATAAAAACTTTTATTAAAGGTAAAATTTATTTAAAGCTAATATAGTATGAAAATAATTTATAAAAAATATTTGATTAATTTAGGTACTTGATTGAGAAATGATTATAGAGTTGGGTCTTGGGTATGATTCCTTAATTTATATGTCAATTTAAAAATTTATAAAAAGATAAGGATGAGTTATTCTTAATCCTCAGTTTATCCATATAAGATGAATGATTAAGATATAAAAAGAAGAATGATTAATGAGAAAGAGAGCACTGTCATGTAATTTAATTTTTAAATCAAGAAGATTTTTTTTATTTCAAAATCTTGAAGAAATCAGTAGTATGCTTTTAAAAATAAGGTTAATATAAAAACATTATCTTATTTTAATCTTTAATATATATTATTTGGAGCAAACAGAGAACATGAGTAAATTTTAATAAAAGAAAAATTATTAAACTCTTACAATGCAGTTGAAAGAGGCTGGATAGTTTGCAAAATGATGGAAATTTACTTTTAAATACATTCTAATTTAATTCTATATTATTTTTTTTATTTAAATAAATATTTTTATGAATAACTTCCAAAGTAATTTTCAATTTAAAAATAAATAAAAAATTTAATGTTTAATATTATAGTTTAATTTAATAATAGATTACCTAAAAAAAGCTTTAATTGAAATAAATCAAATGTGTAATAAATATATTAGTTATTAAAAAAACTAAGTAAATTGTTGACAATCAACATTAAATTCATGATGCTATTAGAATTTAAGATGGAATTAATATATGGGTAGTGCAAAATGATAGAGCATATTACAAAGTTTATTTTAAATAATATTTTATTAATATGATTATTAATATTCATTAAAAATACATTTATATAGAATCATAGAGATTATCACAATTATAACTTTATCAATAATCAACTCTAAAAAACTGAAGTATCCCTATCTTATTTGTGTTTTCTTGTCTAATATGCCACCAACTCTGAAATCACCTCTAGTCCTTCAGATTAGATATAACTGTGATATATTCTTTCTTAATATTAGAGGAACTCCGAATTACAATTCTATCTTTAAATATATGCCTCCAGTATACAATTAAAATTACTTAGTAAATCTTCCTATAATTCATTAATTCCTTGATTATTGATATTTCTTATTTTTTTCAAACTTAGATTATTAAGATCAATGAAAATATCAAACTCAATAAATTAATAAATTTGTTATGTATTTCTAACTAATGGATAAATATTCATTAAAATGTTAAAATAAATTAGCACGAATTTAGAGATTACATAAATATCCATAATATTTAAAGTTAAATGATATTATACAGTTCTTGTTTAATTGAATAATATATAAATGAATTTACTAAGCAACATATATTTGTATATTGTTGCATAAGATGCTATTATTAAGTTGTGATTTTTTATTAGATAATGTAAAATAACAATCAGATAATTTTTCTAGTCTAATTCGTATTCCCTAATTTGATTTTTACTAGGAAATAAGGTAGCATTTGTGATTTTCAGCAAAAGTTGATTAAATTTCATTTCTAATTTTTTTCTATGTCTTCAGTTTTTTGATCTCTCATACGACTAACGTAAAAAACTTTTCAAAAAAGGTTATTCATTTCATTGCTATTTAATTGGAAATATTTTAGACACTCAAATTACAACTCATCAGTATCTATTTTGTGAACTAAGAAATAAATAGATAAATAGAAAAGTCGGAAACTACGAACTTTGGGTTAAAGCATGGAACAGCTTTTTAATAGTGAATCCCAATTCACCCTAATAAAATCTTTTACACAGAATTAAATAGACCTGATTAATGAATGGTGATTTATCATTCTATAATTATAGAACTTGCGAAACTATTGTCTTCAATTTTGTTT